TAGCAACGAATGGGGAGAGTGAGTCCATGTACCCTCGTAGACCGAAAAAGGAAGCATTAGCACAACGCGGTTGATGTAGTCGTACGTCTTCACGATCCGACCGATCCAAGTACCGAACATACGGCACCTCCGAGTTCAGCACACGTTCAGCTCGATGATGTCCCGCGAACTCCGATCCAGCAGAGATTCATGGGATAGTTCCGTCAGCATGATAGCGTGATGACGGTGATGATGTTGCTACCGATGCAGGGCTTTGCCTAAGCACCGCTACGATATGACCGAGGTAGAATATGGTGGAGGGGGACACCACACACGGCTGGGAGACATCAACAGATCAACTTGTGTGTCCATGGGGTGCCCCCTCCCCCGTATATAAAGGAGTGGTGGAGGGGGGATGGCCGGCCCTCCTATGGCGCGCCCTGGAGGAGTCCTACTCCCACCGGGAGTAGGATCCCCCCCCCCTTCCAAGTAGTAGGAGTAGGAGTCAAGGAAAGGGAAAAGGGAAGAGAAGGAAGGAGGGAGCACAACCCCTCCCCCTAGTCCAATTCGGACTAGGCCTTGGGAGGGCGCGCAGCCTCCCCTCTCTCTTTCCCCTAAAGCCCAATAAGGCCCATATACTCCCCGACGAATTTCCGTAACTCTCCGGTACTCCGATAAATTCCCAAATCACTCGGAACCTTTCCGATGTCCGAATATAGTCGTCCAATATATTGATCTTTACGTCTCGACCATTTCGAGACTCCTCGTCATGTCCCCGATCTTATCCGGGACTCCAAACTACCTTCGATACATCAAAACACATAACTCATAATATAAATCGTCACTGAATGTTAAGCGTGCGGACCCTATGGGTTCGAGAACTATGTAGACATGACCGAGACACGTCTCCGGTCAATAACCAATAGCGGAACCTGGATGTTCATATTGGCTCCCACATATTCTACGAAGATCTTTATCGGTCAAACCGCATAAGAACATACGTTGTTCCCTTTGTCATCGGTATGTTACTTGCCCGAGATTCGATCGTCGGTATCTCAATACCTAGCTCAATCTCGTTACCGGCAAGTCTCTTTACCCGTTCTGTAATACATCATCCCGCAACTAACTCATTAGTCACATTGCTTGCAAGGCTTATAGTGATGTGCATTATCGAGAGGGCCCAAAGATACCTCTCCGACAATCAGAGTGACAAATCCTAATCTCGATCTATGCCAACCCAACAAACACCATCGGAGACACCTGTAGAGCACCTTTATAATCACCCAGTTACGTTGTCGCCACCGCCCAAATCCCCGACGATGTCGCCGCCACCGCCCCAAATTGCCGCGCCGCCCTCCGTCGCCCTCGCCCCCATCGCCTCCCTCGCCGGAAGTCGTCTCGCAGTCGCCCGGGCGCCGTCGAATCGGGAGGCAGCCGCAGTGGGATTCGGCGCCTCCGGCAGTCTGGCTGCCCATGTAGGCCTCCGCCGGGTCCTTAGGCCGCCGCCCGCCGCTGCTCGCTGGCCCGCCCCGTTGCCACAACCTCCCGGCCCCGCCGCCGCCCCGCACCGACCCTGTCCAGCCGAGTTGTCATCGCTGTTGGCCCGTGCAGCGTGCCTGTGCCGCTGCTCGTGGTGTTCACGTCGGCTGCTGCCCGCCTCTATCACTGCTTGCCGGCAAAGGACCACGTACAGGGGAGCTCGGGCTCGGGCCATGGCGACCACGGACGAGCACGGGAGCGGTGGCAAATGACACCGATCGAAGGGGAAAAATAGGGGGATTGGGAGAGGAGCTCATCACGGGGAGGATGGCGCGCTCGGGGAGGTCAGGGAGAGCTTGATGGCGATGGATTTGATGAAGGCGACTGACGTCCCAAGGTTGAAGAAGACGATCAAGGCGATTTTACATCTTCATTTTGGACCATCTGTTGGAGTTGCTCTTTTGGACCATTAATTTGGACCATCTGTTGGAGTTGAGCTTTTTTCGGAGCTCCAAAACGCATTTTTTGGCGGTCCAAATTTTACATCTCCGATTTTGGACCGCCAAATTTTGGACCATCTATTGGAGATGCTCTAAGTCTGGAATAGTTCTGCATCCGGGGCCTTACAAAGCACGTCGCCAAGGAGCTGAGTTGTGAGACCTCCAAAACGAGTGGCAATGCCCAGATCTCTATAGATTCCCCTTCACAATCTATTAGCCCTCCGAACGACCACCACCTACTGCTGCTTAATTGTCCAATAATGCTCCACCTACAAAACTGTTATGAATAACCTACGTAACATTCCTTCTAATCCTCTCGCCCCCTCCCCCCTATTTCAAGGGGGATAGGTCCCTCCTTCCCTCTCATCTCCAATGAAAAAATGCCAACTGGGCAATCCCTCCTAAAATGTATAACTTTTCGTGGATGTAGCATTGCTTCTTAATTGTTTATGGATGTATGAGTTTTTGCTTTATTTATAAAACGGGACGAAAGCCTTTTTCGGTATAGATGTACGAGTTTTAATAAGAAAAGTGACGCAAGGAATGCATGTTGCTTCAAAATATTGGCAGGGGGTATTCACAAACGCCAAGGGGGGATTAGCAAGGTTGAAAGACCGGTTAGAGCCCCGCCAACTCGACCGACAAGTTCTACTTGGCAGGCAGACGATACACTGTAGGCTGTTTTGCCACATCATGCCAAGTTTGCATGCCCCTTTGCCACACTTTTGATGTTTATGTACCAAACGGTCACATGAAAACCAACTTTGTGTATTGTCCATGCTATGCTATTAAGGCATCTCCAGCGCATAAAATGCCAACGGCGGTCGACCGCCATGGAGGTGGGTATTTAAAAAAAAATCAGAAAACATAGTTTAAAGTTTCAAGAAATTCTGGAAAAAAAATCGTACATGTTAACATGGATGTATTTTACATGTGTGTAAATTTTAAAGATGAAATACATTATGATGAGAGCTACACAAAAAAGACAAATCGCGGTTTTCAAACTAATGAACAGTGCAAACACTGTTCATTATTAGAAATGCACGATTTCCTCTTTTCTGTGTAGCTCTCATCATAATGTATTTCGTTGTGAGATTTTATACACATGTAGAATATATCCATCTTAATTTGTAGAATTTTTTCAAAATTTTTTGAAACTCCGAAATGTAATTATTGAATTTTCTAAACTATCCACCTCCATGGAAGTCGCCCGCCAAAAGCACATCTCCAGCGTTGATACTCAAACCGCCCGCATCTGTCCTACGTGAGTGGTCCGGATGCCGCAAGTCATCCAACGCGGTACCTATAAGTTTACGAAGTGGTCCGGATGCCTGGACCACTGCCACGCACACGTCCGACTTCTCGCATACGCGGTACCCCATTAGTTTGCGGAGTGGTCCGAGCACCTGTTTTCTCGCAAACCTGGGGGCTTTGTCGGCGTTCGGACCGCTTCCACACACACATCCGGACGCCGCAAGCCATCCAAGTGGTACCCCCATTGGTTTGTGGAGTGGTACGAATCGTCTACTTTCCGGCCATCCAGACTGCTACCATGCACGCGTTCGACTTCCCGGTCCCACACAAAATCCTCTCCCGCATCTACGCCCTCCCGCGTGAAGAAGTTGCTGCACATTCATGCCGCCACAAAGCGGACACACGACCTCTCTCTGGTGCCGGCACTGAAGCGGCGCACCGGCCGAGAGTGTCGTCTGCATTGTGTCCCGGTCTCAGCGCCTGTTCAATGTTGAAGCGATGTGAGTGGACGAGACGGGACGAATATCTACCACATTCAAACGGGCAGCATGTCCGTCCTCCTGCCGGCATTAAACATGCATGTCGGCCTAGAAACCACTTCGGCACAGGCATTGACGCACCCCGCCGCTTGGTCTAGCCAGCATCCGCTATTTAAACGAGGACACGCCCGACACAAACCGCACCAACCATCATCCCGCTTTGTATCCTCCTTCATGTACCACCTTCACCATGACCGCGAGCTCTAGCATGTTGTGGGGGAGCCTCTCAACGGAGTAGAAGCATGAGTTGGCCGTCCTTGCGGCTGATTGGCAGGACCACCGTGCGAGGCGTATAGAGGTCTCTGACGACCGGACCATGGGGGCGGCCTCTATCTACGACTCTATAGTCCTGCCCACGCCGTTTTGTGCTGGCTTCATCATGGAGCAGGCGCAGACGCACTTCAACATTGCTATGGCGGAGGTGCATCCGACGCCGCAGCGGTGTCGATGTTCTGGCAGGCGCAAGAGGAACGGCAGTACAACCTCTCACTCCTCGCGCAGCATTGGCTGACAGATGGCCAAATTTACGAAGAACACGCGAGCGAGCAGGCCGTGGCGGCCATGATCACGAAGAACCCCAACTTCGTTGACGAACAGAGCGTTGTACGAGACCGCGCGCCCTCGCCGTGTAGATGGACGAGGAGGTGGCGCAGGAGATCGCGGACTAGAACGCCGGCAGCTGCGGGTCGTTTCGGCGTTCCGTGTCCATTTTGGGTTGAGTGTCGGAGATGCCCTTAGCTCAAAGGTGGATGTGGTTCGTCCACCCAAATCACCCTGTCCTACGGTTTTTTCTTCTTTTTTTTGAACAACCCTGTGTTTGTTTGTTGGCCACACTCAGTGCCTCCGAAGTTTATTCGGCGCACTACTTGAGGCTGCCACACAAAAGTTCATCGGGGTATAGAGCACCGTCGCTTTCATTGTTCGCATTCGGCGCATTATACAGTACTTTTAAAGTGAGACGGCTAACTCCATTCATCATTTTGAATAACCATTCGGTGTGGAAACGGCTAGCTTCATCAGCCCATTCAGTGCATTACTTTATAGGATTAATATATCATTAAGGTCACGGAGAGACGGCTAACTTTAGCAGAAACAAACAATTCAATCCTGGGCCCTATCGGCGTACATATCCTCCATTGATTTTGGTAGATCCTCAAAGGTTTGCCACAACGTAGTACTGCCTCCTTCTGCGCGCAACCCCACCCAGTTGCGCAGCCGTGCAGTGTCCCCGTGAGCGGTGATCCGGCCGATGGACTCGACAGGGGCCGAGCCGCTGGCGCTGCGGCCGCACGTCGTGCTGCTCGCCAGCCCCGGCGCCGGCCACCTCATCCCGCTGGCCGAGCTGGCGCGGCGGCTCGTCGACCACCACGGCTTCGCGGCCACGCTCGTCACCTTCACCGACCTCTCCACCCCGGAGGCCCTCTCCGGCGTCCCTGCCTGCGTCGCCACAGCCGCGCTCCCGTCCGTCCAGCTCGACGACCTCCCCGACGGCACTTCCATGGAGACCGTGCTCTTCGAGCTCGTCCACCGTTCCCTCCCTAACCTGCGCGCCATCCTCCGTTCCGTCGGCGCCCCCCTCGCCGCGCTGGTGCCCGACTTCTTCTGCTCCGCGGCGCTGCCGCTCGCCGCCGAGCTCGGCGTCCCGGGGTACGTCTTCGTGCCCAGCAACCTCACCACCATCGCGCTCATGCGCGCCACGGTGGAGCTCCACGACGGCGTTCCACCCGGCGAGTACCGCGACCTCCCCGAGCTTCTCTGTCTCCCAGGCGGTGTCTCGCTGCGCCGTACCGACCTCCCGCGCTCGTTCCAGAGCAGCAACGAGCCGGTCTACGCGCACCTCGTCGAGGAGGGCCGGCGCTACCGCGGCGCCGACGGCTTCCTGGTGAACACCTTCTACGAGTTGGAGCCCGCCGCCGTCGAAGAGTTCAAGCAGGCGGCAGGGCGAGGCGCGTTCCCGCCCGTGTTCCCCGTGGGCCCGTTCGTCCGGCCAAGCACAAGCTCCGACGACGCCGCCGGCGCGTCCGCGTGCATAGAGTGGCTAGATCGCCAGCCGACTGGGTCAGTGGTGTACGTCTCCTTCGGTAGCGGCGGGTCGCTGACCGTGGAGCAGACGGCAGAGCTCGCCGCCGGGCTGGAAGCGAGCGGCCACCGGTTCCTTTGGGTCGTGAGGATGCCGAATCTGGACGGCAACGACGGCCATGACCATGAAGACAAGCAAAACCCATTGGCGTGGCTTCCCGCGGGGTTCCTGGAGAGGACGGCGGACAAGGGGCTGGCGGTGGCGGCGTGGGCGCCTCAGGTGCGCGTGCTCTCCCACCCGGCGACGGCGGTGTTCGTGTCGCACTGCGGCTGGAACTCGGCGCTGGAGAGCGTGTCGGCCGGCGTGCCGATGGTGGCGTGGCCGCTGTACGCGGAGCAGCGGATGAACGCCGTGGTCCTTGAAGGGAGCGTCGGGGTGGCGCTGCGCCCGCGGGCGCGGGAGCGCGGCGAGATCGCGGCCGTGGTGAAGGAGCTGATGGAGGGGGCGGACAAGGGGCGCGCCGTGCGGCGGCAGGCCGGGGACCTGCAGCAGGCGGCGGCGCACGCGTGGTCGCCGGAGGGGTCGTCGCGCCGGGCGCTGGAGCAGGTCGCCGCCACGTGGAAGAAGGTGACGCTTGCCAAGGTGAAGTAACGGACGGACGTGCAAGGGGAGAGGTCATGGCTGTTGGCGTGTTGTGTGTCGGCGGTGTATGTTTGCTTGTTTGTGCGGCATTAATAAAAAGGAAAAAGTCCAAAACGAACCTTGAAGTTGTAGACGAAAGCTAAATCAAACTCTGAACTTTGAATCCCGGAAATTGGCACTCTGAACTTGTAATCCCGGTCTATTTGGGACCCTAGACCTGTTTGGCACACTGGGAATAAGAAAATCCCGGCCGGGATAACCTGCTACTCTGAATTTGGGCCGGCCCACTATAACACAACAAGAAATCATGAACTTTAAAATATATTCGCGCATTTCTAAATTTTCCAGCAGTTAAAAAACATTCCTGTTTTCTATTTATCGCACAAATTTAATTCATTTTGTGTTTTGAATTTTTTTCTGGAATTTTGAAATTCTATTCGCATTTTTAAAAGCTGCTTGTGATTCTAAAAACAACTATAAAAAATGTTCAGAGTTTCAACAGTTTTTCACATGCTATGAAAATGTTTCGGATTTCCAAAATTGTGTCACATTTTACAAATAATGTTTTTATAATTTTGTAAATAATTTGTTTAGAAAATGTTTCGGATCGTTGGCTACGTACTCGTGTGGGCCGGCCGACCAGACATGAAGCGAGCTTTTCTTTTCTGAAAGCTGTACAAAAAATTTAAGTGCGAACACTTTTTGAAACATAAACATAATTTTAATGTGTGAATGCTTTTCGAAAATTTAGAAAATAGGAACAAATTTCGAAATCTTAACAAATTGTAAGAAAATATTTTGTGACGTCTAAAAAATATTGCAGGTTTTATGAAAATGTACGGACCAATTCAAACAAATGTTTATATAATTTATAGTAATATTTGTGTGATTCAAAAAATGTTTCGTACAATCGAAAAAATGTAGCATTTCAATAATGTTCATGAGTTTCAAAAAATGTGTTTGTGACATTTTCAAACAAAAATGTGTGTACAATGTAAAGAAAAAGTGTGCGTGTTGTAAAAAATTGTGTCTTACATTTAACAAAATATACTTGGCATGTTTTTGAAAACAGTGTCTACATATTTAAAAATGTTGAACCATGCAGAAGAGTGTTCGTTTGGTTTTATAAAATGTTTATTGTTATTGAGAAAATGTAAACATGCATTTGGAAAAAATATAACCATGTATTCAAAAAAAATGAAAAAAATTTAATTTAAAAATGTACATAATGTATATGGAAGTATCAAAAGTTTATCAAAAATATCTTATGTGTGCGTTAAAAATGTACATTGGATAAGAAGAAAAAATAGACATGAGTAAAAAAGAGAAAAGAAAAAAAAAACAAAAAAAGGAAAAAAAAAACAGAGCAGTGCGTGCACGCGAGCGACGACGTTAATGGGCTTGCCTAATTCAGCAAATACCGGCTAAGTCCGCTCAAGGTTTAAAATAGACCGGGACAAGGGAGTTTGGTGTGCTGATTTCAGGGATTGAGAGTTCAGGGTTTGATTTAGCTTTCGCCGACAAATTCAAGGTTTGTTTTGGACTTTTTCCAATAAAAAGCTCGTCTGACGTTTGATCGTGACCGACGACGCCATTTTCCTTTTTTTTTTGAGGCAAACCGACGACGCCGGTGGTCGACCGAAGACACATAGTTTTAAGGAAGAACCAATAATTGGCTGTTGGATATATTTCTCTTTCATTTCTACAAAAAAAACTGGATGTTGGATATTTTTCTCCATGGTTTTTCTATTCGATTTTTCTGAAAAATGGTCAATGCTTGTTTAAAAAACTTCAGTGTTCATTAAAGACAATGTTCAGTGCATGCTAAAAAAATCATTGTACTTTAAAAAACATTGCATATAAAAATGATCACGATATATTTAAGAACTTTCCAACAAGTATTAAAAAAAGTTCATCATATATTAAAATCATTATAACATCGAAAACGAAAATTAATGCAGAAAAAACAGGAGAAAAATCAAACTAGACAAAAAAACTCCAAATAAAAAAAACAGAAAGAAAAAACACTAAAAAGAACAACAGAAGCAAACGAACAGCAATGGGCCGGCCTAACTCGCTCGCCTGCTGGGCGTGGACTCCACTATTCCACGCTAGTGGGTGTCAATAGATATGCCCGTCTATATATAACTCGCTTATTCCAAGTTGCAAGTCATGCTCGCCTAACATGCACAGCTCACAGGCAAGGTTCAGCTACATAATTTTGTGTAGCGCCCACGTGACAAGTCGAGTAGCAAAGGCCCCTAAAGAAATCAAGTAGTAAAGTTATGACCCTCTGTTTAGCACTCACCTCCAAGTGGAGTTGACATTCACCTCCATACAGTTTTTTTGTTATGTATTTAGTTTCTTCCTATTTTATACTCCCTCTGTATCGTTTAGCCTACAAAACGCTTTATATCTTGACTAGATGAAACTTCCGTGTGTCCTCAAGAACTCTTTAATCACTATAAGAAGTACTTACGGCTTATCCTTTGCAATAAAAGGATTATGCCATCTTGTTGCACCTTGCTACTTTGGTTACTTGTTACTTGTTATGAATTATCTTGCTACCAAACTATCTGTCATACTACTTTACAACACTTGCAGAGAATAGCTCGCTGAAAGCCGCATATTGATTCCTTGGACTCCTCGTTGGGTTTGACACTCTTACTTATCAAAAGTACTATGATTTATCCGATATACTTGTGGGTCATCAGGGGTAAAGGTGAAAGGAGGAGGTCCTCGTCAGAGCGGGAGAGGTCCCCGAAGCTAGAGCGGCATACGGTGACGATGGTTGCACATATGGTGGCGAGTGAGCATAGGTTGTCATTGTCGGAGCGGGAGCGGGCATTGGAGCCTGAGCAGCGTGCGGTGGCGGATAGGCGATTATCTGCGCCGGCGCATGCACCGGAACGAGAAAGGTCTTGAAGCTTGAAGCAACTTCATGACAACCCGTATGAAGAGAACCATATCCATGTCAAAGGGGAGTTTGGTCTCATGAATCCATATATGTGCAGGCAACAGTGGAGCTTA